GCGCGAAACCTTGGCGAACAGGGAATCAGCGTTGAAGGAGGTCTCCTTAGAGGCTGCGGTCTGTGGGAAATACTCGTTCTCTCCAGCAGACAATATAGAGCCAGTCATACTTCGACTTGGTCCCAACGCTGCTGAGCCCATGCATGAGAATACCGGAGACCTCTCCTGGCTTCAAGTTTTGCGGTCGTCAATCCAAGATGTAAAACATAATAACACTAATAGCCCCATTGTCCTCATTAGTCGCTCAGCCAGAGCATCTCTCTCTTGCGGCAAACTCGCACTAAGGTTTCTGAGCGATACAGACGCCTCGTTCTTCATCCACTGGTTGCACGGCTTGCCACGCCTCTTTGAATGCAGCACGTAAGTGCTTGTCGAAATTTCATGGCTTTCTAAGATAAACTAACAATTCCCCAGAGACAAGCTGGAAGCAACATTCCTTTGCGCAAAGAAAGAGGCCGATGGTTACAGGACAAGCTCAGCAAAGGCATCTGGTATATTCTTACCAGATGATAATCACAGAGCCAACAGTTCCAGATCTCAGCAGCACCACAGAGATCCTTTCTTAGGTGATCCTGTCTCACCTGGCCGTCCTGCTTCGAATCAAAAGAAGCTTAAGGACGGAATGCAAGGTATCCCTGAGCCAAAAGAAGGCGTGCAAATGGAACCACCCGACACCGATGATTTGTTTACAGGGTTGGCTCGCAATCAAAGGCTCGGGACTCGACATTCAACAAGAAGGGAATCTCCACAATCTCAACATGAAATAACCCCAAAATCATGGACGGCTTGCAATCCTGGCTGGGAGAAGAAATGGCACAGATCTTTGGTGTGGCCTCCAACAGGAAAGAACCGGGCAACAGTCGATAAAGATGATATTCAACGGTTGGATGAAGGCGAATTCCTCAACGACAACATTATCAGCTTTTATCTTCGCTACCTACAAGACCAGCTTGAGAAGGAGCGACCAGAGGTCCTAAAGAAGGTGTACATTTTTAGTACATTTTTCTTCGAGAAGCTAAGATCAAATCGCGCCAAAATCAACTATGATGGGGTCAAAGCCTGGACCGCCCGAGTCGAACTGCTGTCATACGACTTCATTATTGTTCCCGTCAACGAAAACGCGCACTGGTACCTGGCCATCATATATAACGCACCTCGTCTTCTGCAACAAGAGGTGAAAGAGGATCCAACCATCAAGAAGGAGTCTTGGAATCCACAAGATGCAATAATTGTTGAGGATAATGACCCAGTAATGAATCGTGCGGAGAGTCCTCTTGCTGCAACAAAGCCCCCGATTGTGTCTATAGATGTGGAAGTTACTCGCTCAACCAGAAGCCGGGCGATTAATGACAGCAACCCTTCTGTGCCTGATGACAAGCATACGCCAAGCATAGTGAGTCCCGGCAGAACGAGCAAGCGACAATCAACTGGAGGAAACCAAAAGTTCAGCCTTAACGATCCAAAAATAATTACACTCGACTCGCTAGGCTCATCGCATGCACCAACCTGCAGGTGTCTAAAGGACTATCTCCTTGAGGAAGCAAGACACAAGAAGAGCCTCGAGATCACTACTTTACCCAGCGGCATGACTGCCCGAGGCATTCCGATGCAAGACAATTTCTGCGACTGTGGTGTGTACGTCCTGGGTTATATGGAAAATTTCCTGAAGGACCCGGATGAGGCTATTCGAAGACTCCTTCATAAAGAAGACACCGAATGGGAAATCAACGCCCCTGGGATTCGTGCCAAGGTGAGGGAGCTCCTCTTCGAATGTCAAGAGAAGCAGCATGAGCGTCTAGAAAAAGAAAAGGAAATTAAGAGACAACGGAGAGCAACAAGGGGCCCCGTCTCCTCACCACAGATACCTGCCTCTTCGCCACAGGTGCCCCGAAGAGAACCAGAGACACCACAAGTTAGCCGTTATCTAACAAGCCCGTCAGTAAACGGCGCCAGTGGCTCGCCCATTGAGGCGGCTAGACAAACAGGGACCACTTCTTCATACTTTGCAGTCACTTCTGCCACGAGGCCAGGCCAGTCCCCAACGTCCAAAAGAATTGATGAACCATCCCTCGTCCAACCTCTCAGAGAGGACTCGGGTAATGAGTCTAAGGCCTCTAGCTCAGGAGATGTGTATCATTCGGCTCGGTCATCGCCTATCAACAGCGTACCGCCTGTTCCTTCTGGTTTGACCACAGAAGGGTTGCGTGACGAGCGGCCGCCCAAGCAGCCTTCAACCCCTGAATTCGTACACACGTTACCAGACTCTCCTGATGACGTGGCCCCAACAGCCACTTCATCTACTGTGAAGAGAGCTAGTTCGCCGCTGCTCTCTCTAGCAACAAGACAGCATCCCTCGCCAGGATCACAAGGCAGCCAGCGAGCTGTTCAGCTCGAACAGACAGTCGTGAGAAGCATAGAGGACGACATGTCACCTCCAAGAGGACCACAATATGACGGAGTTGATCAGTCAATCGACTTGACAGTATAAGATTGTTTCTGTCTTCGTCGGTGATGACATGACGAGTTTGTCTACGAGAACAGGGTGTCAGGGGTTTTGGTCCCTATAGCTATGTATAATTAAGATAGTTTCAGGCGCCACAGCATATTATCACTACAGATCCCTATGTTCTGGCTGCTTGGGGCACGAAATAGGGAGGGAAAGAGTTGAAAGAGAGACATTAGAGGTGTAGAAAGATGATCAAAGTTTATACCCATCACAAAGGCTTTTTCCTATTTAACACCCGACTCCTGAAGCATCATCGGTCCCCGGACCTATTCATCCCAATATGCTAATGATATGTAACATGTGGTGTGAGTTGCAGTCTCCGCCACGTCTATTGAGTGGTTGATTGTCAAGTATCTATTATGCTTTTTTATTCATCTTGGTCGTCTCCATTCGAGCTCTCGTTCGTGCCGTTTACCGCTGGCCGCTGTATCCTTGGAATCTCGAAAACGAAACCTCCATTGCGTCCAGCCTTCGCGGGAGGGTTCCATCTGCCAAGTCGATGTTCGTTTCCGATAGCCACAACCACGCAAAGACCATCTTTGCCTCTATCACCACGCTCAAATATGTCGATATCGTTTACAACACCATGAAGAGGGCCATGAACATTCTCCTCATGCGATACCTTCTCTCCGTCTTCAGGCTTAGTGAGGACCCCACGGAACTCAATCTTGCGCTTATCCTCACTAAGTTGCCAGATTCGAATATGACCATCCCAACTGCCAGTGAGAATAACGTCAGAGTAGGGAATAGTTCGGATAGCGGTGATCCAGCGGGGTGTGGGAGGTGGCACGATCCTGGGGTCTGGGTTCACCTCGGCCGATGCCTCTTCGGGCTCCAGGGGCCGGTCGATACCATGTGCAATGGGCTCTATATACACAGGCTTTTTCTTTTGCACACTCCATAGAGCAAGGGCACCGTTGTCGCTACCCGTGACAAAGAGATCATCGTCGATCATGGCTACTCGATCCATGCTACCTTCGTGAAGGAGAGATCGAGGGTGAACACCCGTAGGACGTGACTTCTTATCTACAGCGCCACCGCGGAAGACAAGTTGCGTCTCCTCAGCGACCTTCCATAGACGCGCAGTACGGTCTCGTGCGCCAACACTAACACATCGCTCTTGCGCAAGGGCATCGACATCGAGAATTTCGTCCTGGTGACCAAACAGCGTTTCAACGTAGGCCATTTCATCTAAGCTCCAGACCTTAACCGTGCGGTCCTTGGAGCATGAGTAAAGCTGGTTCGTTCCTCTTCGGAAGACGAGTCCAGTAACAGCGTCTCTGTGATGTGTGAAAACCTTGATAGGCTTGAGGGTATCGGCGTCGTAGATGATAAGCTTCCGGTCTGCGCCACCAGTAGCTACATATTTACCATCAGGAGAGGCTGCAACAGCAAGAATACGGTCTGTATGGCGCTGATAGTTCTTGTCTTTTGACTTTGTCGTATTTCCCTTTAACCATGCCTCCAGCACAGGCCGCTTCTTCGGAGGTGCTGGGGGCTTTTTTGGCTTTCGCTTGGTTGTCTGTGGGTACTGGTGTTGTGGGAGATCTTGGGTCTTCCATTTCTGTAGATATAGATCCTTCGTCGTGGTGTAAATGTAGGGGGAGCATGTAGCGATGGCAGTGACAGTGTTGGTGTTGCTTCGGAAGAAGGTGCGCGAAGCGTCGTCAAATCCCAACTCCGAGGCCAATTGGCGATATACTCGACCCTTGCCCTCTGCTACATCCTCCTGCAGTCGCTCGGCAATTAGATCTCGGTCAATATCGGCAGCGTCAAAACCAGCTTCGTCCACGTGCTCCTTGATGTTCTCGAGGTAGCGCTCTGCTAGCCGCATTCTTCGCTCAGCGGCAGTCTCACCCTCCTCATCATCAGACTCGTTATCTTCCATTTCCACATCGCTCGCGACCGAGGCGTTATCGTGGCTCTCGTCATCGTCAGAATCGCTCCCAGAGATAGACTCGTCGTCTCGTTCGACTCGCTTTTTGGTGGGGCCGGCATTCTTCGAATTTGTGTTGCCAGTAGATTTTGAAGGCGCAACTCTTTTCTTTGGTTGCTCTGAAGTCTCAGTACGCTTGCGCTTCTTCTGTGCACCTGGAACCGTAAAAAAGGACGACATTGTAGCAACGTCGTGAACTTGACTGTCTGTTCACGACTTTTGAACCTGCCTCGAAGATAAATTTCTAGACTCAGAAAAAAAAAGATGAACGACAGTGGATCGCGGAAAATCTAACTAACACTCGAACATTCAACTGGCCAGTCATATCTCGGCAGGTGGGTCTAGTTTTTCCGCTCCAGGCGGTAGAGAGCGGCACAAATAAATCTGGTATGGGAAGCTTCCCGGCAAGTGTTGACGCGCAGCGCTACAGCCTAAGGAGAGCTTGCTTGCTTGGTTGCTACTACTGGACCTTGAAGAAGGCTGAACAAACTACTTGGAACAACTCCTCCACAACAACATATCGAGTTTTCCTCCACTACATTTCAAATCGTCGTCAACATGTAGGCCCCCCACAAGCTGCATCTACTGCTCCAGACTTTCCTAACATTGATAAACAGGGAGGTCCTTTTGGGAATCACTGGGAAGGACTTCACTATCATTGCAGCATCCAAGGCTGCGATGCGGGGCGCCACCATCCTCAAGGCATCCGATGACAAGACCAGAGCTCTTAACAAGCATACACTTCTCGCATTCTCTGGAGAGGCCGGCGACACAGGTACTTGAATTGGGTTCATGTCGACAGGCTCCGCGATGACGACAACTAACCCTCACTGTGCAGTGCAATTTGCCGAATACATTCAACGAAATGCCCAGCTCTACTCGATGCGAAACGAGTCCGATCTTTCTCCGTCTGGCCTGGCTCACTTTGTTCGTGGAGAGCTAGCCACCAGTCTGCGATCTCGAAAGCCCTACAATGTCAACCTCCTCATGGGTGGTGTTGACCCCATCACTGGCAAGCCTTCGCTCTACTGGCTCGACTATCTAGCGTCGCTAGCAGATGTTCCTTATGCTGCGCATGGATACGCACAGTACGTTGTTGTGGGGACTATGTTCTCAGGACAGATTATGTGAATGGACCTGGACTGATGCTGATTTGTTACACCACAGATACTACTGCCTGTCTATCCTCGATAAGCACCATCACCCCGATATCACACTCCACCAGGGCATCAAGATCCTGACAATGTGTACCGACGAGCTGAAGCGCCGGTTACCAATCGACTTCAAGGGCATGGTGGTAAAGGCGGTCAAGGCCGATGGGATTGTCGACATAGAGTTTGATGATGACAAGGTTGTCAAATGTGCTTGAGAACAGCGACAGACTGGAGGAAACATGACTTTGTACTACTAGATGGGTATTAGAGGCTAATACTGGCATCATGAAGGTTTCCCAGCTTCGTCCAGACGATTTTTTCAGAAGCCGGGTCAGCGTGAATCGAGGGCCCTTTCGTCACAGTAGGGTTCAGTCTATCTCAGACCACCTATCTCGGCATGAACGCTACATATTATCGTGTCTCCAGCAACTCTGGTGGTTCAGGCATCTCTACCCCTAGCAGTACCTACCTCCAACGCTCGAAGGTCAGCCGAAGTGTAATAAGATTGCCTTTGATCCTTCTGCAGCTACAATGTCGGAGTTTTATGATATCGTGATTAGTTATAGGTTGGTGACTTGCATTCTCGTATTTTGTCGTAAACTCTGCACGTGCTTTGAAAACAAGCATCTTGTGTTCTCATGATCAAGGCTTTCGCATCGTGGCTGACTTCCTACACTCGTATGATGTATCACTGCTTAATAGCATCTTATTTCGACGTCGGACTAGGGAGACACAATGAAGCAAATGTGACCGCGTCTGACACTGATATCTCAGAGTGGCAACCGTAGCTAGGTAGCCATATTCCGTAGAAGTCATAGAGCAGTGTCCCCGATAGTGTTTTGGGCATAACTCTACTTGCTCTTGATTATTGAAAGGTTAAACAATACGATAGATCCAGCACGAGCTAGTCTAGTCCAGTTCCGGTATCTTGTGCCCAATATCCAGATTACGTCTCATAAAGCATCAGATAACACGACCGTGGAGCCTCTAGAATGTTGGTCAAGAAACATCCAATTCTTAGAGGCAACCCTGTCCGGCCAGTTGGCTATCTATTTCAGTCAGCCCAGATCCTGGCTCCAGGCATCATGCGAGGCTGGTGAAAAATCAGTATGGAGGGCAGTATTACTGACCACGTGGATGAAGGGCTGGCTGTATTAAGTAGTCATCATTCAATCGGCCATCATGGGAGGGTTGCAATGAGCAGCAGATTCTTTCCAGATTTTGAGAATCTCGGGCATAATGCTACTGGAAGTCTGGACCATGTACGTACTGGTCTCGTCCGAATTGATATAATGTACTCCGTACTAACTTTAGGTAGTTGCTGCGAAATACAGTTACGTATCTGGATTCTCCATAAGGTATCTCACTTACAAGCATATACTGTAGGTAGGCAGTTTTTTGGGAAGATAATAGGATTTTTAAAACGAATTATCACAAGTCCTTTGAACTCGTTTCATGTCTTTTATCTTATAGTTTACCATCACTTTTATCATTTTCGCTAGATATTCTTCCGCTTTTGCTTACGCTCTATACAAGCTGGATATATATGCATAAGATCGTAAAATCATACTCGCCAGGTGTCAACGTTTGGTGAGCTGCATGTCTGGTACTGAATCATATTGTTCCTAGTTGTCAGATCGCTCATGTCCCGCTTATCGGAGATTTTCAGGCGGCCGCGATCCAACTTACTTAATTTTACAGGATCTATCAGCTGTTACAACGCAGCCAAACCAGGGCCGATGGGACAAGCTCAGGGTCCTTGCATATCCCTGTATGTTTCCTGTGTTACACAATCTTTCTAGCGGTCTATATCAAGCTTGTTCAAACGAAAAAAACTGACGCATTTGCTGTGTCCGTAAATGTTTGATTGTTCCCTGAAAGCATTTGCCGAGACATGCCGAGTCACAAGTATCGTAGTTAGATCCTAGTTCTGACACCAGATCCGGTAGAGCGCAGGGCTTTCGACATTATCACCAGTGCCTTTAGTCAGTTTACCTACTCCTTGCATAGTAGTGGCCGGTCAATTGTTCATGTATCACTTTCTCTCCATAGCCGGTTATGTATCTGCGTTTACCATGGCATCTGTTGACCTCACGGCCCTGTTGCTACCTAATACCTGACAATCAAAGTAAACTTACCTCGTACATGGCATCAAAATACAACTACCTATCTATCGCTATCCGACAAATCGTCATCACCTGTGGTTGCCAGGAGTCCCCTATTAATCCACTTTGCCCCAGCCCATCTGGGCTGTTAGCCCGCCCCAGAATCTGGCTTACCTCCATAAGGTAGTATCGAGGTACTGGTCAAGTACCAGAGGTGGTTCCACGGTTTCTAAGTGTTGCCCCTTGACTCGAGCTACTCAACGAATGCTTCCACCTGAATTCTTTGCCCTTCTGCATTTGCCTCCCTTATTTTTATGCAATTTCTAGGGCTTTGGAAAAATACAGATTAGTGTCAAGTAGTGCCCGCCATTTAACTGCTTTGTAGGTAAGCTTCACAGCAAGTACAGGGTCCTCAAGATTCTGACGTCTACACCATCAACAGCGATTCAGGACAATTCTTTTGCCCACTTAGAAGAGCCTACGGCTGGGCTAGTGCGCTCTTCGTCATAAGTATAAGGTTAGTCACTTCTCTGTTTTCCTGCCCAGCCACTTCAAGCCTCTTGACAAGCAATTTCGAGTCTCTCCACCAAACTTCGAACTTCACTGGCTGCATCAGCCGTGAGCGGTGGCCAAAAGATACTTCTCGGAGACCTCGAGGCTCGCCTCGCCCACTTACGGCCCTCCCTGACCCACTCTCACTCTAAAATCCTCCCACTCGCCTTCACCGCAGAGCAACCCCCTCCAAAAATCTTGAACTCGACAGATGCCCGCACTAAGCCTATTTGATCACATCAACCAATTTTTTTTTCCCACTCTTCTTTCGCCTCTCTCTCTCTCCTCTCAATTCTGTCCCTTTTCTTCTCTTCCTCCCACAACAAACCCTTCATCCCACAAACCTCCTCCATCCCCCCTCTATCCGTGTTATTTTCCAAGACTCTGTCTTTCCTTCGTCTCTCCTTTGAAGATTCTGCGTGTTCTTCGAGGGATAATTGCATAGCACTGACATTTGTTTGTGCTCAAAAGTAATCTATTTCGGGAAATTATTGGAAGCGTTGGTCTTCCGTTTCTTTCTCTCGTCTTTCCTGTCTTTTCTTTCGACGGGAATTTCACAACACCATCACTCTCTTTCGCTTTTGAGAGTGCTATTCGCCAGCTTCGGATTCTTACGCGTCTTTACGACCCAACTATCTTTCTACGTCTATTCTGATCCGAATCACGACTGTCATCATGGCTGATCAAATCAACATGGGCGGTCTCTCCCTCAACGATGGCGCCCAGCAGGGCCCTGCTCAGGGTCAGCGATCCTACATCCCACCTCACATGCGCCGCCAGGGCGGCCCTCCCCAGGGTGGCCCTCCTGCTATGAACGGTGGTCCTCCTCCTGCTGCTGGACCTGGTCCCAACGGTCTTGGCAACAGTGCATGGGCTAAGTAAGTGTTTCTTTCAATCTATATGAACTTAATCGAACAGTCACTGACGGCATGCAGCCAAAACTATGGTGCCCGTCAATCCAACTGGGGCAACGACGTTCCTACCTATCAGAACAACAACAACAACCGCCGGGGCGGCTGGGGCGGTCGAGGTGGTTACAGCGGCGGTGGCGGCAACTCGGATGGTCATGCTGGAGGCGGTGGTGGTTACACTGCCCGCGGCTCTGGTGATGGCCAGTGGCGCGATGGAAAGCACGTTCCTGGCCCGGCTAACCCCCGTGTCGAGCGCGAGCTTTTTGGTACCCCCGATGACCCTTCCAAGCAGCACACCGGTATCAACTTCGAGAAGTATGATGACATTCCCGTTGAGGCTTCTGGTCATGAGGTTCCTGAGCCTGTCCACCAGTTCACCACTCCTCCTCTAGATGAGCATCTTTGCCGAAACATCGAGCTTGCTCACTACAAGGTTCCCACTCCTGTCCAGAAGTACTCGATCCCCATCGTTATGGGTGGTCGTGATCTGATGGCCTGTGCTCAGACTGGTTCCGGAAAGACGGGTGGTTTCTTGTTCCCCATCCTCTCTCAGGCCTTCATCAACGGCCCTTCTCCCGTGCCCGCTAATGCCGCTGGCCAGTTCGGCCGTCAGCGCAAGGCTTACCCTACCTCTTTGATTCTTGCCCCCACCCGCGAACTTGTCTCCCAGATTTATGAGGAGTCCCGAAAGTTCGCCTACCGATCTTGGGTCCGCCCTTGCGTTGTCTACGGTGGTGCCGATATTGGTTCTCAGCTCCGACAGATTGAGCGTGGCTGCGATTTGCTTGTTGCTACCCCTGGTCGATTGGTCGATCTCATAGAGCGAGGTCGTATCTCCCTGCAGAACATCAAGTATCTGGTCCTTGATGAGGCCGATCGTATGCTTGACATGGGTTTTGAGCCCCAGATTCGCCGCATTGTGGAGGGTGAAGACATGCCCCAAGTTCAGGACCGCCAGACTCTCATGTTCTCGGCTACCTTCCCTCGCGATATTCAGATGCTTGCCCGCGATTTCCTCAAGGACTATATCTTCCTTTCTGTCGGTCGTGTTGGTTCTACTTCCGAGAACATCACCCAAAAGGTTGAGTATGTCGAGGACGTCGACAAGCGCTCCGTTCTGCTGGATATTCTCCACTCCAACGCCAATGGTCTGACCCTGATTTTTGTTGAGACCAAGCGTATGGCCGATTCGCTTTCGGATTTCCTTATCAACCAGAACTTCCCAGCTACTTCCATTCACGGTGATCGTACTCAGCGTGAGCGTGAGCGAGCTCTTGAGTTTTTCCGCAACGGTCGATGCCCAATTCTGGTCGCTACCGCTGTCGCTGCTCGAGGTGAGTTAAACATCATGAGACAACAGAATAAGAACTAACTAGGTCTACAGGGCTCGATATCCCGAATGTCCTGCATGTTATCAACTACGATCTTCCCACTGATGTTGATGACTACGTTCACCGAATTGGTCGAACCGGTCGTGCCGGAAACACCGGTATTGCGACCGCTTTCTTCAACCGAGGCAACCGTGGAATTGTCCGGGAGCTTATGGATCTCCTGAAGGAAGCAAACCAAGAGGTTCCTGCTTTCCTCGAGACCATTGCTCGGGAGTCTTCTTTCGGTGGTCGTGGTGGTCGTTCTCGTGGTGGTGGTGGCCGCGGTGGTGCAACACGTGACTTCCGTAAGTTCGGCGGTGGTGGTGGTGGCGGCGGCGGCGGCTTTGGCGGCAACAACGGCGGCGGCTTCAATGCTCCTTCCCAGGGCTCAGGCTATGGTGGAGGCGGTTTCGGTGGCTCCGGCGGCTACGGAGGTGGTGGCTACAGCGGCGGCGGTGGCTATGGAGGTGGTGGTTATGGAAACCCCAGTGGCCCGGGCGCTCAGTCTTCTTGGTGGTAAACATCTCGACACCATCGAGAAATGCGCACCTGACAAAGGTGTGGAACGATGCTAGCAGACGCATTCTGCGGCATCACCCGTTTGCGATTTTCTTTTATGTTTTTTTCTCGATGTTATCTGGTTGCATGCACGACTTGCATTTGGACGACACGGCGACACCATGACCTGTGGCAGACGAATGCCATCGCTACTGGCAACAGGCAGTACTGGGTTCGGTCCAGGGATTTCACGAAGCATCTGATAGATTGCGTTTCTTTGATTTCGGCGTACTCGTCGCTTGATACCCTTAGACCGAGATGTGGGGAGCTTTCAGACGTTGGCAGCACGCTGTGATGCAGACGGATCTAGGCTTATGAGCCAACAGATCTGACACAGCATTACGAATTTTATGTTTCCGCCGTCTACCTGGGGTTATCCCCTATACCCCAAGGGCATTTTTCACGCATTCACGATAGAGGGTCATGTTTTCGCCGTGCACACACATAGACAAAAGTGGATTTCTCGGTTCTCTGGTCATGAATTGCTCGCTGGTCCCTGTTAGGAATGGGGACCGGAGGGAGAGCAATCAACACAGCTGGAGGGAACAACGGTTAATGGTCAACAGGACGGTTATGTCTGTTTAATATCTAAACAGATCGGAGAGCACGAGCGTTGCCGCGCGACGCCCACAGGTTATGGATTTTGGTTTGGGCGGCACGGCATGGAAAGGAAAACAAAAGCTCTTGCTCTTTGCAGGTCAGGAGGACACGACGAAGGCTTTGACTCCATGGGATATAAATGGGTCACGAGGCTTCTGAAGACGGGACCATGAATGCATGGGCTCAGTTCCCGTAGTAGAACAGATAACCAGACTGGACTGAGAAGTCCTGATTAAAAAAACGCCTTGTTTTATATTGATGCCTTATGATTGTCACTGTGTATTAATGTAGTGGATGAGTGCGTATGCTTCTGATAAGCGCGTTGCTGTGATCGTAACCTTGCTCAATCAATCATGTCGCATGGAGCATAGGCAAAACAACAGGAATAGTGAGCCTTCTATGCACAGGTACCCTACAGACTTGAAAGATATATATCTTATTAATCCAGGGGAGATAGTTTTCAAATGACGTACTACACGGAGCGAGAAAACTTCTGACCCTAAGCTTAGATCCTAAAACGCCTAAGGATCCTAAAGATGTACTAAATCTATCCTAATGAATTTCTAGCTTTAGAAGAGAGGCCCTGATTTTTCTTACCTCCCCTACTCCCGTCCATCCTCTGGCTAGGGGAAGAAAGAAAACTCAAGATCTTGATCCTAATTGATAAAAAGACTTAGTTAACTTTATATAAATTTAGGATATCTTTACCAAATTTAGTATATCTTTATTAAGTTTAGGATATCTTTTATTGAATTTATTTTGGCATTATATATGAAGGTCTGGTTACTACCTGGCTAGCCAGAGGTAGCCAGCCAAGAGAGTGAGTGACGTGAAGCTCTCAGCTCAGCCCCGAGCTTTCCCCACATCCATTCCATCAATGCCGCCTCATTCTCTTCCCCGCCCAAAACCTGAGACCTTCATTATAATATCACACCCAAATCCACACTAGGCGGAGGACTTTTAATTCTGCATGGCTGACTTGCCCCAGCTTCAACTATAAAAAAGTCCTGGAATACCTGTTGGCATTGCAACACACGATAAGCGAGACGCACAACCGATCATGGGCGTCTTTGACAGCCTCGACGCAGGCGTCACCAACCTGTTCGGCCAGTGGAACGTCTATTCGACTGGTCTAGTGACCCTCCTGCTGGCTGTGGTCTCCTATCGAGTTATCTCGACCCGCGATCCCGATGTGCATCCCATGCTCCTAGCTCGCCAAGCCGTCCCGTCTTCAGTCCGAAATGAAGGAGAGAGTCCTATTTACCGATCCCAGGCTGCTCCTCATGGCATGCCGCTCAATACTGGTCTTAATGTGAAGGATACTGGAGCTTCTAAGTGGTCTCGCGGTCGTGATGGCGACTTGAGAGATATCTGGAAGAGGGCGGCTGAGGGCGGCGAGAACGGGGCCAAGGGAAGGATTCTGACTGTCCTCGGTTCCCAGAACGTTGTGGATCACAAGCTCGGTATGGTTGGGACCTGTCAGCGAAAATGGACAATGCTAATAGACCAAAGATGATATCACTCGTCAGATTAATCTTATTGGTCAGCACATTGCCGAGACTGGTGGTATTAGGGTTGCCGTTTACCTGCCGAACTCAGTCGAACTCTTGGTAACGCTTTTCGCCTGCAGCTTCTATCAAAACCTCACAACGGTCTTGATCCCTTTTGATGTGTCCAATGATGAGCTTGTTTCTATGTTACGCCGCTCTGCCGCTGATACCTTGATTACCGCTCCTGGCGCATTCCCTTTCGATGCTGTAATCCAGGCCTACCCATCTCTTCGACAGCTCATTTGGGTCACAGACGAAGGAAGTAGCCACATGGACTGGAATGAGATCCCTGAAGGTACTGGCGGCAACATCAACGTCGCTACTTGGCAGGATATTCTTCGCGATTCCCCAGCCCATGCCGGCACCGAGCTCCCGACTATTGACCCCTCTAAGACTCCATCCGATGTCGTCACCTTTTGGCAGACTGAACCTGGCGAGGTTGAGGAAATGGTGCGCTTCAGTCAAGCCAACCTTGTCTCTGCTATTTCTGCTCAACTCGCGGCTATCCCAACCAAGGAGCGCATCAACCCATCGGATCTTTTCTTACCCGCTGATTCTCTTGCCAACGTCTATACACTCGTTCTTACACTTGGTGCTCTGTATTCGAATGCTTCCATTGCGCTGAACTCGGTCGCCGGCAAGTCACCAGACCTGGTTCTAGCAACTCAGGGGGTTGCTCCCACTGTTTTGGTTGCTAGTCCTGAGACACTTCTCAAGACTCATGAGGAGTCCACGTCTAGGCTGACATCTTCTTTGGCCAACGCCTCTCATGTCATGGCAACTCGTTCTCTGGCCCTGGAGGGAGTTCATGCCACCTCCAATTTGCTTTCTGGATTCTCTTCCGGCGCAGCCCCGGCCCTGGGCACAACGCCTGGCAAGCTTCGTCTGGTGTTGGTTGCAGAGCGTGCAGGTTCTGATACCCCTCTCCTCCCGGCCAACGTTTTGTCGGATCTACGTATCTTTACTGGGGCGAGGGTGGTGTACGCTTTAACCGCAGCCAAGGTGGCTGGAGCTATTTGCCAGACCGTTCTCTACGACTATCGACTCCCGGCTGATGCCAAGACACACTTCGGTCCTCCATTGACCAGTGTCGAGCTATATCTCAAGGATGCCGGCGCTCACAAGACTACTGATGAGAAAATCGAAGGCCATGTAAGTTACTCACCAGCACCTAAATCCCTTGCCATGCTAATAAATTCGTAGATTGTCGTGAGAGGACCTTCCGTGGCTGGAGGAGAAGTCAATGTTGGGATTCCCGGAAAAATTCGACATGACAATACCCTTGCTTATGCCTGATTTTGTAGAGCTACATGTGGAATAGGGTGGTGATGTCAGAGGAGATGGAGACAGCTATGATATACAGATTGATCGAACTTGGCCTCTCAGTCCATAGATTATTCTATCTAACATTTATGATCTTTTCATGGTTCTCTCGAAACTGGGAGAGTACGATATACAAAAGTGTGGCATTCCCTTATTCTCGTCCAATATCGTGCATTGGGTATCGGCCCAGTTGAATCGGACTATTTCCTCGTGTCTGTATTGCCATGATCGATGTGACCATGGCAATCCCGTTTCATAACCGACACGAAACACACATAAACACACTTCTACATTACCAAAATGCCCTGTAATCTTGAACTGATTCTATAAACACGGTCACGCGAACAGTTGTGGTTTGAGAATCTGTGCGCATAACGCTACCCTATACCAAAATTGCTGATCGGGGGTCCTTATTGTTATGACGTCGAGTCACACGGACATGGTGCTGAAATGACAGCTGTGCCGCTTGGACGCCTGTAGATCATAATAATATGGATAATAGAGTGTCGGATCGAAGACAATGCCCGGGACTTAGATTAAGAATTGTTACTCAATAAGGAGTCCAGGGGAGGAAAAAAAACTCAAGACCTTGTAATAAAGAGACTTAGGTAACTCAACATAAATTTAGCCTGAGTTTAGGGTACTCTTTCCTTAGTGTATTTTGACATACTCTTTTTGTATCTTATTTTCCTGCTCCCTGAGGGGAGCCTATGCACCAGTGTTGGAAACGCTAGTAATAAGGTGGATAGATGTCTCGGAAGTATAAGTCCCACGTGGAACTGGCCGAGATGTATGGAGTATGCTAAATACAAGTTAGTGTTTTATTGAACTGAATACTTTACACCTTAGTAGTTCAACAAGAGGAATAACTTGAGCTTTACAGGCATTGAAAGAGTGTAATTTCATGCTGCATTGTAAATATAACCAACAAGTTATGTAATTTCTTAAATTTATATAAACGCCGGAAGAGCTCGCATGCCAAGTCAACGGGAAAAAGGAAAAAGCTCATGCGTTGAAATGCAAAAACCCCTGTCCCGACTTGCGAGACCCCTGGCCCCTGCATCGTCATTCCCAATCCAGAAGCCCGGACGAAATGCAGGTGCTCCAATGTTTATTCCCGGTATTGGCTAAATTGCCAGTTCCTCCAGGGTCTTCTAAGAAGCGAGAAAGAAACTCAACACAACAAGGCAATTGCAGCTGCAGCTGCATATTTTGCCTTTCAGTGTAGTGATTGAATTATGTAGACAGAAGTATTCTCAGAAATGGAGGCAATACAGCCTTGCTAAGGAGATTCACTATTGACCTTGTTGTATCTGTCCATCAGAGACAACCCAAGAAGATTTGCGGCGTGATCAATGGACCCATCTTTCACCAGAGCCTAGACTTGGCTATGGGAAGCAAGAAAACTTATTAGGGCCTCTATCCTAAGCTCAAGAGGCTTTTTATCAAGTTTATTCCAGCAATATCTTCTCAAGTCTCAACCTTTCTTGCTCCCTGAGGCTTAGCTACTACCTAGCTTAAATGGGCTTTGGCCGTAACTAATTTCAAGGGCCCATTCAAGCTTTGCTCTTGCTGAACCAAGCCTAGCGAAGCCAAGGTGCTCCTCCAACCAACTAAGATGATAGATAAAACATGCCGTATCCAATGGGTTACAAAGGAAGGTTTACTAAAAATCAACAATGCGGCCACTGTCGCAAAAAAAACAACAACAACAACAACAAAAAAAACTTATCTCTAAAAAGGTGATCTGCTATTATGTTTCCTGATACCCCAAGCCCTAGATGTACGATATGTCGGCATTGCAAGCTTGCTTCCGCTTTTGGGTTATGATTGACAAGCTAAGAAGAGCTTCCTCAAACTGAAGTTTATGCTTGGAAGAAACAATAGGAGCATATAGCCTTCGGTGATGTGATACTAATACGGTACAGTAATGACAGAAACGTGACCCTGTTTAGGCAACTCCACACATTGAATGTGGAAGAATCCAGTTATTAACTTTTATCATCAACAAAGTACTAACCTAACTATGGTCCTTACTTATTATTATAATTGGCTAGTTTCTTGATTACTCCTACTTCGGGGCCTTCGGCCTCTGCAAGCATAAACATACCACATCCTCCCCATTAGGGGAATTGCCTATTCCATACTTTAACCCTTCTCGTTTCTCTGTTCTACTACAACCACAGCGCCCTCAGTCCCCCCAAATGACTTCCGTTTGACAATCGATTCGACTAACATGAGTTGGAGCTGAAAAAAAGGGGAAGCAAGATTGATATACCTACTCCGTAATGGGCAGCTATTTTCCTACCCTCTCCTTTCTTAAGCCCCCGCTGCTCGACCCCTTTCGGCGACGCCGTCACTTTTAGCCCCGCGTGTGCATTACACTAAAGTACCGAAATCAAACCAACTACTACTAAGCTAAACCACCAAACGCTCGCTGAAATTCCATATATTTATTTTACGACTATTATTGCCATCACTGCCCCTTCGCATGTCTTAAACCACCATCGCTGTCGCGTCAACCCACGCAGAGGAAGCTCGCAAACGATCGGATAGCCCAATGAGCCAGAATGGCGCGGCGGCAGCCAAACCCTCCGCGGGTCAAAATACAGCTGCTCGTGTTGGGATGAAGAAGATATCAAGGCTCTTTGCCTTTACACGACTTGGGCGCGGTCGCCCAGAGAGCGCCAATGGACACCACCAGACCGAAGATTCCGCTTCTACACGAGAGAGCTCCCCCGATGTTCACCAACTTACATCACGACGTCGCCGCGGCGCAGCGCCAGAGCATAGAAAACCTGCAAGAAATGGCCTTAGTAGACTTATAGCCGATGAAGAGAACCAGCCCTGTGCCATTTGCGCGACAATCGATTTTCCATCACTGCTCAATTGGCGCCCAGGACAGCCGCGGCCTTGGATCCCCCTGGCTCACACTCTCGCTGAGCTATCCGCTTGTCCATATTGCATTTTCTTTCAAGCCTTAGTAGGCGCCGAGCCGGACATAACACGCAAATTTACGCCCTATCTGCGCATTCGCCAGGCATTTGAGCGCCTCGGAGTCGGAGAGAAACATGAACTTGGAGGCGCGGTTATATTTGAGGTCACCACAAAGAGCAAGGTGCTACCGTGGGGCTATATCGTGCGCATTGTGGATGGGGATGACGATATGGCTGGGTACAGCGAGGCTACACCTGTGATCCGGGGCCGTGTGATACCGCCCAAGCTTGACATTGCGTTACCTCGGACCTGGATGGACTTTTGCCGGTCCAAACATTCTCATACGAAATGCGCTGCATCTGGGCCACCGATCCGAGGTCTCAAGCTTGTGGACTGTCAGGACAACCAGGTGGTGTTTGTGGACGACCTCAACGTGGAGGCACTCGAGTATGTCACACTGAGCTATGTGCGAGGCAGTCCGACCGACGAGGAATGGGATCATAATGGCTTGCCTGAGGTGCTGCCTCCGCTGCTTACCGATGCCATAGCTGTAACCGAGTCTCTTGGTTTCCGATATCTCTGGGTTGACCGTTTTTGCTTTCCTCAATACAACGCGCACGAGCGCCGACGACAATTGGAAAAAATGGGAGATATTTATGCTCGCTCTGCATTAACCATCATTGTCGCAGCTGGCCAAGGCGTGCAAGACGGTATTCCCGGCATCAGTGTGGTGCGTGAAGAGCAGCTATCACTGCAGACCGAGGCTGGCTGTTTCACCACATCACTGACGAGACCTGATGTTGAAGTGGCCAACTCTAAGTGGACATCTCGTGGCTGGACATATCAGGAAGGGCTTCTATCACGTCGTCGTCTGGTCTTTACTCCATCGCAAATCTACTTTCAGTGCCAAACCTTTCACTGTCACGAATCCATCTCTTTCCCTTTGCAGACAAAACCTCCCCTCAACCTCGGTCGCGTATTCCCCGATAACGGTGCTGGCGGCTGTACAGGCGATTTCAAAAACATCGTCAGTGGCTACGTCAGTCGTGAATTCTCATTCCCAGAAGACCGTCTGGACGCTTTCAGAGGTATATTGGACAAGTATGCCCGGATGGACAATGCTCTGGAAACCGTTCTTGGGCTCCCCCTCTTCCATGAAAAGGACTTCAAAAACATGCCTAGTCCTACACGAACTGATCGACTAGCTGTCGGTCTCGGCTGGCTGTACGACCCCCCAGGCAATACCGATCTATCGACACACCCTTTGCAGCTTCAGGGCCCATTCCCTTCATGGAGTTGGCTTGGTTGGAAGCTCCGCCCTGAGTATACCGGACATGGGCCAAATCTGAGCTTTTACCAAGTCGGCGAGGAAGCTCCTGTTGTCGACAACATTTCGGCAGTTCCCAATATGACCATCTCTATCGGCTTCAAGGATGATAAGATTCTCTGCTGGGAAACAGATGGGAATGAAATCGCCGCTCGCTCAACACCTATCACCTTTCTCCGCCTTACTACGTATTGCTTCGAAATCCGTATCACAGTTCCTTCTTCTGCTACATCCTCCGCTTCTACGTCCTCAAGTGCAGCAGCAATCACACTTACGTCGCCCGACCTCCTCGACGCCTTTCACTCTCCCATCGCAGCCTTACTCCTCCTTGCAGCGCAATCGTCCCCCGAGTCCCCTTCCGAACTCCCGCCAGGCGAGCATGAGCTTATTGGCGCTTTCATTTCCGGCCGCAATTGGAAGGTCGACGAGTCCTACGATTCTGCCAGCGTTCTTATTTGTGGCCGGCGCAACTGGAACGCTGAGGACGTTCTGGTTCGTCTTGGTATACTTGAGCTTGGTGCTGGTGGGTTGCTTGGTGTGGACGAGGATACAGCTGTTGTTAAGGGGGCGATGAACAACGAGAGGAGGCTAGACGTGCAGTTGAGGGAGCTCGATATCTATTGATAATCTTCTTCATGTATGCATGAACCTGCATGTTATAAGTCCCATTGTCATGGTAGGCTTAATTTCTATGTATCATCGTGTGGGT